AATATTTTTATACTACATTTATCCATTTTAAATATACTAACCTCTCCTTTGTAACAACTAAGGCAAAAATGTAACTAATTCAGAAAATCTTTTCAGGACCCCACCTTGATGTTTCAGGACCCCACTTTGGGTCCCGACCCCAACTTTGGGAAACACTGATCTAATGTATACAGTAATATGCATTTAAAAATGTTTTCTCAAATTATTCGTACTGTAATCAAAGGAGAAAGCTAATGTTTAGTACATCTTGAAGCCTTTAACTTTTAATGTAACATTGACRCTGGTTTCAACATCTAGTAACCAAATTTAAAAATGCAACATCTCCAGAAGCAAGTTTTACTTTGAAAGGTTTTAGCGGAAATTGTGCTAAAGTCAGCTGTTTTTTTGATAGATGGCAGAATAATAATACCACAATAACCTGATCATTAATTGCAGTTTTGGTCAATTTATTTGATCAAATGAGATGCCAGTATTGACCGAATTCATAAAAATTAGATGGTGAAAACAAAATGAATCAAAACAAAAAAAGGAAAAAACAACAAGTTTGAAAAACAAACTTACTCTTTGTTGGTATTCATCAAAAACAATCGCACAAATGCTCTCTGCACGAAGATTTGTCATTAGTTTGATAAAGTGTTTCATGTTTTCTCAGTCTAATTTTATTTATACAGACTTTTGATTTAAACATTACTACAATTGTCTCCCCTCACTAATTTTTTAAAATATTTTATTTTTTTGTTAATTCAACTATTTCAGCCACCAACCTGTACAATGGGGTGTGTAATCAAGAGCTGTCGCATTATTCTAAGAATATAATTCTGTTTTGTTTTGATCTTCAGCTGGAGGTCGCAGCTTAACCAGTTCTTTGTTTTGTTTTGTTTCTTTTCTGCCGGAGCTTTAACCACCGATTATAGTTGACCAGTGACGAAAACATAATGCCTACATTCATGCGGCATCAGTTCCGTTTTATGTAGGATTACAAAAGGGATGTCTGTTGAACGTTAGCATCTGGCTCCTTGGAAGTGGCCCTGGATGATTTGGCCGGAGAGCAGCGCTCTGCAAGGCGAGCCCACGCGGTCGGTTTTGCCCCAAATCCAAACAGCGGCCGTCTGTGCCTCCYTTCTCCCGCAAAACTTGACACGTCTTCCCTGGCAGCCAGCCCGTGTGTAGACAGCTGTGTGTTTGTGTGTGTGCGGGCAGAGTTTTTGTGTATTTATCAAGGAGACATGGAGACATAGAGACGCTTTGACCCAAGGCTCACTGGCTCTTTAAAAGGTCCCAGAATTATTTTCATTCAACAGACATGTCAGTTTGTTTTTTTAGCACTGATGAATGGTTTCGTTAAATCCCGCAAAATCTGATGCCATTGTGTGGTTTTCGGATAAACACCCATAATTAAAACAGCAATAACTTAATCATTTTGTTTAGAGACAATGCWTAAACACATGGTTTATTGTGGAATCATGGATGGGTGATACGTTTCACGAACAACGATTTACAATCATTTTGTCACAGATTTTCACTTGTAAATAATCTTTCCTTTTTTATTTATGCACCAAAGCCTTCAGTTACCCCTCCCTGGTTCAGATTTATTTTTCCAAGTCTATGGTGGGGAAAACGGATTGAGCCAGATGTTGCTTCATCTCTCAAACATTACATTTTCTTCCATTTCACAGTCTAGCTGAGATTGACGACTTCCCACAAACTATTGGTACCCTTCAGTGTTAAGTGGGCGTGTGCGCGCCTGTAATAAATGGTAATTTATTGTCTTTTTGTGCACCGAGACCTTTGTTTTCCTGTGGATTATAGACTTATAATGTGCATCTTGCAGCTACTTGTGTAGAAATCCATTAGCTGCTTGCAGAAACTAAAGTCACAACAGATACAGTGTAGCTGATGTCGACGTAGACTTTCATTATTTACTGACGTAGACATTGGAGCAAACAGAAGTTAAAAATATGCGTGTATGAAAATAAGAAAGCTAAGGCCACCSCAGCTTAGTAGTTTSCAGGAAAAAGTCCAAACAAGRTGACTTTTTCTCTTATCTTCTGTTTTCTTTGTGATTGTAAAGAARTGATGTTGAATCAGTCTCAGCTAATGAGATTACCGTCATTTATCCCTGTCTGTGTGGATGGACGGGGCCCGCGTCACTCTGAGACAGGCTGCCAGGACTGATATTCTCCTCTGCTTCATTTCAGATGTTCACAAATAGCGACGAGGCGGTCATCAATAAGAAGCTGCCAAAGGAGCTGTTGCTACGGTGAGTGACATTTCAGAACGCTCCGGTCTGCTTTTTTTGCAGGGCACGTTGTCTGTTTAATGCTTCACTATGAGTAGGCACAACAAATCACACACAAAATCACCACAAGTCCTGCACCACTGTCTTCCTTGTGTAACCCTCGGACGCCAACATCCGCCCACCTCCACAGACTCACATTTACACCGAATGCATCTCGTGATCACATCAGGCCTGCCCACCAGGACGCCAGTTTCCCTTTGTTGCCCACAGTACTCTGCTCCCCGAATGCTAAAAGTAATTAAAAACAGGTTTCCACGGCTGTAAAACATTTAAATGGATTTCAGGCAAAGACAGAAAACTTTAGGAGCTTGTTAGAAAATAGAAATCGAATGCAGACGCTCTGCCTGTGCTGCATCTAGC